ACAGGCGCTCGGGAGGGACAGCTGCCCCCTCCTTCACACACACACACACCTCCACCTGCTTTCAGGTGTCATCAGTGCATCTCCACCCGTGTCTGGGGCTCAGAAGGATGATCGCAGAAAAGAAATCCTTCTAGTGCCTATGCCACAGAGCCAGTAATCATTCTTTCAGATGATTAAGCTGATCATGAGACTGGGAAAGCCATTTCGGATGTGTTACTAGGCAAAAAAACCCCGTAACTAAAGGTGGTCTTGCACCCTTCATAGTATTCGTGCAGACCGTGCTGTAAGGAAATGCCAACCAGAGTGCTCTGCCGCACAGCTGTGGGCCCAGGCTCTGTTTTGTGTAATAAAGGCATCAGGGATGTCAGCAGGTGAACTGAGCTACAAAACAAAGCCCATCATCCACTTAGTACCGGGAGCTGCTACCCAGCCATTTCACCTGGTGCCCGTGCCAGCTCTGCCTGGCTGCCACAGCCTGCTCAGGGCAGCCAGACCCAGGCACAGCCCCAGGCTGGGCTCAGCTTCCTCCTTCCTGCCTCCTCAGCCTCTGTGAGAAGTGTCAACTGCCAAAGAAGGCCACAAACTGACAGAATATTCACTAGGTTTGACATAAAATTTAAGAGACCAGTGACAGGAAGTTACAGGTTGGGCTTAGGTGTATTGATTTTGCACGTCAAGTCTGATGAATCTTTCTCCTTGCACCACTCCAGTATTTCTCTCCAGTGCTTAAACCAAAGAGGTAAAAATAAGAGGGCATCCTTCCCGGTTTCAGCTGGGACAGTGTTAATTTTCTTCTGAGGAAAGGAATCTGAAAAGGAGATGTCTCTGTGTTGGAAGTCAGGCACCAGGACAATGATTTTTCAGAGGAAGTTAACAAGGACCAGGTACTCAGATCTTACTGAAATTCAGGAGTGGCTGGGTGTATCAGCCACTCTGGCTTCTCTGAAGTTTCTGAATTAGATCCATCCTCTTGATATAAGCCATGCAGGAAAAAAAGGCTGAGAAGGCTAAAATACATTGTTTCTGATACACTGTATATTAAAGGTGGAACTGAGCTCAAAAATAATTTTTCCTAACAAGATAAAACCACAGCTACTCAAAATTTCCATAACAGAAAAGGATTCTGACAAAAGAATGCCTTCCCCATGTAACTCATGCTTCATATTCATATTTTCAAACTGCTATGTGCTTCCGAGTGTTCTGTGGTTAATGTCATTTGCATTTTCAAAAACATGGTTCAGAGAAATCAATTTTTTCCCTATCATCATTGGTTGTTTTTGACAACCAAAACATCAGAAAATTGCAAATGTAGGTTTTTGATCAGGCTAGTTTTCCTTTCCAAATATGCAGGTCCTTTTAACGAAAGCATACTTAGATAATGCTCCAAAGGAAATGATTCAAACTCACATGATCTAAAAGGCTTAGCAAAATGACTGTATGCTGCATACTATGTATTTCTCTACTTTGGAAGTCTAATTACTTAGGCATGTGCTTTAGTAAGATTCAAAATGGTTGCAGCATTAGAAGCAAAACAAAATTTACCTGTCAGAGGTAAATTTATAAGCTTTGTAGATCTACTACTCGTAGCACCTGAGCTCCCTTCTCTGGACTATTTATACTAGTACCAGGGAAGAAAGAAACAGCAATTCTTTCAACAGCCAAACTCTTCCTAACTCCTGCAACATCAGAATCCCATAACGTAAGAGAAATAAAAGTGTAAGGAAGCTAGAACAAGGGTGAAGCACTTGGAGAAATAGACAAATTAGGGAACAGAAAACATACTCAGTTTGGTCAGCAACTACCCAACCAGTTACACAACCACTCTAAGGTTACCAAAGTATCTACATTTCACAGGTGAGGAGATGAAGATTTACAGATGTAGGCTGTGCATGACATCAGAACAAAAGTAGACAGAATAATGAAAATACAACTGAAGCGGAACCAGTTCTTAAGTAGCCACATACACAGCCAGACAAATCCCCAGTGACTCAGTTGTTCTTCTTTCCACATTTGTGAACAAATAACAGCTGTAAGTAGAAAATACAATCAGGATTTGTCACACTCCCTGGAGGACTTTGGGTCCATAAAGGCAATAAATGCAGAGATACCTAGCAGATAAAATAGAGCAATTTAGCTTGTTTTTTACAACTTCACACTTCCTGGATGAACAATATTAGGCATGTTTTACAACCCCATTCAGAGACAATAACTTGACTGGAAATTCCTTATCCTACACACCAGCAGGACTCATTTGAGGTTCATTACGCATTATGCTGAAGTGAGATTGTGCAAGCACTTTTAATCTTTGGTGACAATGTGGTCGAGTCACGCTAGGAACTGCAAGTATAAGAGCAGCACACAGGTGAACTACAAAAAGCCCAGGCAAGTTTACGACACAGGTCTGTAGCACATATTCATCTGCATATGCTCTTGTTTCAGTTAAGGGAAGTATTAAAACCTCAGATTTTAGACAAAGTACTCAGCATGGAAATTTACTTGATTGAAAAGGCAGAAGCAATCTATGTAATGTTATTAACTCTTTAGCAGGGTTTTACACTTCTTTAAAAGCACTGAATAAGTTACTTCAGACACTTGAAAATGCATCATTATACCCTGTGCATGTATCGTTATACCCTGTACATAGCATTTATGTAACTGTAATAACTCATTAATACAGAAATCCAGAGATGATTTGGATGATGACTGTTTCCCAAGAGAGACTATTCTAATAATTAATTTACTATATTTCATAGCATCTCATCAAATACTGAGCACATGAACAAAATACATCTTAAATTGCAATCATGTGTGTTCTATCTGTTTCCAACATTTTTAAATAGCCAGATTCTCAGATCAAGGTATATCAAGTGTAAAATTCGTCCTGCACTTAATGCTAAATTAGCATGTTCTGGAAGTAGCCAAAAGCTTCAGTATTAAGCAAAATACTACAATACAAGAAATAGAACGAGTTTCTGAGAATAATAAATGAGAATGGTTTAATTTATTTTTTTTTACCTGATGAAGTATCTGATATTGTATAAAGAACTTGGTGAAGATTTCAAATTTATTCTGCTATGCATGATGCAGAAAGGTTAGAATAGAATTACATACACAAATATAAAACACATCTTCACATATATAAATTCAGCTCCCAATATGCCTGATTTTTTTTACAGCTGTAATGTAGTTTATGTACTGTTGTGGAATCATTTCAACCTATACATAAGCCACAATTTCTCTGGTTTAAGCACATTCTAATCTCCAAAACTGCTATCATGAAAACTCATCAGTCTGTATATTTATTTCTCAATGCTATAATTTATTTATAAGTAGCTAATCGCAAAATGGCCTGAATTAGCTTGGTGGTATTTGAATGTACTGCTCTTCAGCGTCAGAAATTAGGACTTTTCTCCTCCCCCTGAAGCAATGCCAGAAATATGGAAAAAACCCCACAACCCCACCCTAAATCTGGTTCTGATGCAAACCTGAAATAAAATCTGATTTTAAAAACTGTGCACAGTATTTATATTACTTTTTAAAATGCAGAGCAATTACAGATCTAGGCATAATAAGATTTTTAGTTTTGGATATACTTTTCAACTGTGTTCTAACTTAGAAATTTTACCTAGGGCTACTGAAGTGTTTACATGCCCTTGCCAGTAAACATACCACTTTATCCTGAATTTGCAAAGCTGACTGCTGTAACAACAAACAGACCTTCCTTCCACTCTCCAATATCTTACTTGCAAATGGGAGGGGGGAAAAATCTGTCCATGAGATAAATATGGAGACACATTATGCTATTTTTACAGTCAGAATACCACTGTCCTTTAAATCTCTAGGGTGAAACCATGGTATTATTATTGTCAAAATACTTCCAGTGGAAGAGAATAAACAGTATCACAGTTGGCAAAGGTTAATTATAGTAATTTATTGAAGAAAATACATACCTCATTATGCAGCCAGCCTAACAAACCTATGACACTAACACACAGAAAGTCACTTTGGCAATGTGCTTCTTGGACATTAAAATAATCAATTTCAGGTTAAGGGCTTGATTTTTTTGAAATGTCTTTTAATGGAAACTTAATTTCAGTCTGTCAAAATATATGAGCTTACAGCTAAATATATGAGAGGAGAAACTCAGTCATGAAAACAGACGATGCAACAACGATTCAGAAATAACACTTGGGTAATCTGTTCTCTTTACATGGCTCCTCTGTTGAGATACTTTATCTTTAAAAGGGCTATAGTAGGAAGAAAACCAAAAAATCATCACCATGGCACATCTCAAGCTGTCTCTCCAATATTCTGGAATTGGCAACAGGTCACCTAACACATTTTTGACAGTGTTGTCACCCTGCAGTGAAAACAGATAGGAGTTTGTTCCATAGATACATGATTGCAATGTATTTGACCATCTTTGTCCTGCAGTACCACTGCAAATCTGAGTGCAGACAGCAGCTGTGTGACGTTATCCTTCCCCTTCCTTGTTTATCTTTTCCCCTTTGAGACTCTTTCCTCAGGCCAAGTTGAAAACAGCTCTTATTTTCATTTTAAGCCCTTAATCTTCATCACTTGAAGGACAATGAGCTGCATAATCAAAACCAGGAAACCTGATGGGCAGTTCCCCCCATTTCTTGAAAATCTGCTTTGTTGTTTTCTTGCCTGCAAATGCAACCACAAAATTTCTAATCTTCAGACAAGGCAGGTCAAGACCTCGGTGAACCATCATATTTCCCCAAGTCTGCAAGTATAAGAAAACTACGTTTCAGATAAAATAGACAAGATCATTAGACAGAAATAAATACAGACAATAACAAAATAAGAGTATGAAAATAAGATGTCTCTTACTTGTCCACAATCTTTACATATAATTTCCCCATTTGTCTGGTAATCAGCATGCTTTTTTTGCAGTGTCTTATTTTCTCTTGTATCATACAGACTTCTGAAAAACAGTCAGACAGCACCATCAGAATACATTGGTCATTTGATGCTACATACAGACAAACGCGTGGTGACTAGGGTTGCTGAAGTCAGATATGAAGCCTAAACTCTGACTGTTGTGCACATTCAGGAGTCGGATAAAATTCAAGGTCATACTTCATGGTCCTACGTAATGATGCAATACACCTGTACTCCATATCTCTTTTCATAGCATTTCAGGAACTGCATCCTCCCTCACACATCTTAAAGCAGGAGCAGCAGGCTCTCCTTACATAATAGGAGACAGATCTAACTTGTTTTTTTTCAGGTGCCATGGAACTGTAAAAGAAATAATACCTGAAAATTAGAGGTTTTCTTTTTGTTCCCTGTGGTTCAACCTTAGCCCTTAACAGAATCATTTGCTTATGACTATCCGGAGCTGCAGACTATATGCACATTCTTGCATTGTTTAATTTAGGGCGTCCTTGATCTTGATGGTTACTATTAGCCTGTGCAGAGGGGCTAAAAGAATTATTACCTTGTAGTCTGAATTGTCTTGTAACATGCTGACAAGACAACTTCACAGAAAAAGTTTAATATTTAGGGCTGCAGCTCACTTTTAATTTTTTCAACATGTAGGTACTAATTTCTCATAACTCTTCAAAAAGTCTTTCCAAATGATACCAATGATATGTCTCAAAGAAACGAGAACTTTGGAGGGCAGTATCTTGATGGGAAGAAATGGTAGGATGGTCTCTGTTATGTAATAGCAAAGCATGACTGACCTGGCATGTGTGATACTGATTACAAATTTACTATAGTAAGCAAATGCAACTTAAGTTGAATTAAACCATTTGCTTGTACTCTTAATTGACATTATAAGTGGGAAGAGAAAGTCCCCTCCTGCCATCAGGGCATTGCAAAGTCAAACCCAGTTTAACATAAATGTTTACCAAACCAGATGGCATCAGAAGCAAGAATACTGAGAGAACTAAAAGGGATGTGTCACCAGTGTGAACATCTTCTAAATACACAATTGTCAATGCACAGCTCATGGCAGTATGTTTTTTTCAGTCACTGGCCATAGGCAAACTCTTATGCCAGGTCTGTTACTGATATAAGTATGTGGGTAACTGGTATTCATCTTAGGTTAGTTCCACTTACACTGTGGAATACATACCATACTACATAGTAAGTGACCTAGTTAATATTACCACAGAAACCGTATATTTTTTCAAAGTTCCAAATTCTATTCACCTTGAAATCAGAGTAAGAACAAACAGTTTGTTCAAACTTCTTAACTGTAAACTCCATAGAGCCTTGGACCTGACAATATTGAAATAATCTTTTTTTTTCCTCACAGGGCCTAGAGGGTTACAGGCCCTGTTACAGCCTTGCTGAAAAGAAAATCTGTTTCTGCCTGAAAGAGATAAAGTAGTTCATAAACACTTACTGGAAATCTTTTTTCACACTGACATGATGCATATTCTCAATAACTTGTATGTCTTCTCCAGAACATATCAGCTTGTGGCAATTTTTGCATAAGAATGTTATTAGTGAAGGATTTTTCTTGTATGTCTTGCGCTGGTCTCTCTTTGCCTTCATTTCTTTTTCCACTATACTTTGCAACTGTAAATTCTGAATCTAGAAATAGATCAGTAACAGCACTGTAAAATTCTGGCAGAATGACAGTAATAGTTTTCTTTTTCAGTTATTTTATTGAGTTGACTGACAACTCTGATTTCTAGTCAATTTTCCTGACTTGTGTGTTTCTCCCTTACCAATAGAAAACCACGGCTTTCTAAAGGACTGGAAGATATACATTATAAAACAAATATTGGCAGAAGAATTGGCAGAATGTAAAAATGACATATATAGTAACTAATATTATTTTACGTTTTCCTCCTCTTAAGTAATTTCAAACAGAAAGTACAGTATAAATAAGGCTTCTTTAACAGGAAAGTGCAGAGTTGCAGTAAATACCTTATCTAAATACTCTTCTCGTGGCATCTTCTGGACACGCTCAATGGCCTTATACATCATTTTCTCACGGAAAATATTAACATCTTCACGTTCAACAGCTCCTGAGCTAATGGAAGCCACGAGTGCATAGGTACTCTCATCAGCTCGAGCTCGACCACGAGCCTACAATTTGCAAGGAATACAACAATAAACAGCACAATGCTCCCTATAACATCACACATTTTTTCCTAATTTTGTATTGAAGGACATGTACTATTCCTTATGCTGTGTCCCCACGGAGCATTTTTTATCACTTAACTCAGACAGATAAAGAATCAGTGAGTAACATACTGTTTTATCATCAGCAATACCTGTGAAAACTGCTCATGAGATTTGTGATTAGCACAACATTTTGCAATGCAGAAACTGCATTTTGTCACTGAAATATAAGCATGCATTTAAATATTAAATATGTAAATATTTGTGTTCACAAATTAAATGAGAGCATGGTCAAACTGGTATCGTGATAAGTAATTATCTCTCCTTAGCTGTCGGTGGTTTGGTGTACATACACTGGTGGTGCAAACTGGTCTGGTGATCATATTCTCATACCTTTTCTATTAGAAGAGCTTACCGTCTGTGTAGAGATTTAAATGAATGCTACGCCATTACACACAAAGGCAAATTTTATATTGCATACAAACTGAGGATGGCAACTGGACATGTATCTTGTTGCAAGAGCATTTCTCTTTCAGCATTCAAGTATTTCAAAACTATTTCCAAATGCTAGGTATATGATTCACCATTTGCACATTCCAAACAGAAAACCACTGTTACAAAGTTATGTATGCAGAAGACTCATACCTGCACCATAGCAATTTCATTGGTGACGAGGCCATAGCGAATAACGATGTTACACTCTTTGATGTCCAGGCCTTCCTCAGCTACGGTAGTAGCAATAAGTAAATTTATGTTTCCACGCCGGAATTTATCAAGAACTTCCCTTTGCTCATTCTGTAAATTTTAAAAAATAATCAGTACATTAAATTCCAGTATTAGTTTCTGTCATTGGTTGATTCTAGTTAACAAATTTCAGGAATTATAATCCTATCTTATCCAAACAAAGTGCCCAACATCAAGTGGCTTCAACAACTGGATTTAAGCATCTGGCATGATCACCAAAAAGGAGTCCCTATTGAACGTAATAGGTGTTTGGCACCTTTGTTTTGAGGGAGGAGGGAGCAGAAGCCAATCTTTTCAAGCTACCAGGCTTGGAATGTTGTAGTCCGTGACAGAGGTGCTAGGGCATTTGATAATATAGTTGTTCTATCATTTTCAGCTTTTAAATACTTATCCAGAAGTCTGGATTCCTACTTCAGTAATCTCCGCTTAAAGTATAGACTTCCAAGTCTAGTTCTAAAGCACTTAAAATTCCCCATAATAAATGGGGAATATTTTTGGTGGTCTGAGGAACACCAAAAAGACAACAATGATACACTTTAAAAAATAAAGCATCCTAACCACAGACTTCTAAGTCAGCTGGATATTTGCCACCAGCTTGAGTAGAGGGACAGAAAATTCTTATTTGCTATATTCAGTTTCAAAAGGCAGAAACTGTTGTTTTGTTTGTGCAACGTGGCACAAAGATTAAATTCCAAGTTTTCATAGAAAACAAGCAACCTTTTGAGAGAACAAATCCTGACTTTTTTTTTGAAACTGAGAGCCGCTGACAGAGTTGGACTCTGCCCAGAAGTAACCACACCACTTTTGCTTAAATGCTGAAGTGGCAATTTTGTGGGGAGCAAAGAGCAGAATAGAAGAAAGGTTTTAGGACAATGAAGTATTTAGTTTTGAAAATGTTTAAATTGGAAGTATAAATCATCAGAAAGATGTTGTGTATGAAATCAACACAATGGTACAAGATAGACACAATCGAGTGATCAATTGTAATATTTTCATTATGAATTTTGCCAAGTTTTCTTTCAATGGTTATGTGTCAGTGCATATAAATGCATACAGCATGCATATAAATTGGTATCATTTGATTAAGTGATTATATTAGAAGAAGGTATAATCAACTTTGTAATTTTATTTTTCAATTCAGCAGCTAAAGTATAATTTGAATTACTGTTGTCCTGGTAAGTATAAACTCATTTAATGGTCACATTTTTGCTCTTTCCATTTTGTTTACTTTTTCTTCTCATGCCTTGTTATGACTTGTGTCCCTTTTGACTGTATAATACTTTAGGATATGTCTGCTGGTTACTCCTATTGACATAGAATCCAAAACTGATAAAAACTTTTTTGTTTCTTTTGAAAGTAAAATTATTCTAACATTATTATTCACCTATCCTGCAGCTTATGAAAGGAAGTTGCTGGGAGACATGAAACCAGAACTTCAGGCTCCAAACTTCAGTCCATTGGTCCTGTACCAAAAAAAGGTGTTTTGTGAAATTATGTACAGATGCAATGTCGAAGTGCATAATTCTGTACCTGAGTCATGGGTTTCATTTCACTGTTATGTCCAGAGCCGATAATATAATGGGCCTTAATTCCCACTTCTTCAAATTTTGGATTATCCTTAATCCACTGGAATAGAGCACAGGCACTTAGACGAGTTTTTGTGAAAATTATTCCTCTCGATTCCCGAGTCTCTGAGAACTCTTCCATTAAAGTTCTTCGCAACTGTATTAGTGCCTCATTTTCATTTTCTGGCTTTCCAGCCAACTCTTTCAGCTGTTTCTTTTTTGCTTTAAAAATAACAGATATAAGTTAAGAAAAACTAACCGTGTAAAATAACAGCTCTAGAAAAAAAAACAAAACCAAAGCAAAGAGCAGCTTTCTCTATAATTCTTTCAGCATGGCTAAATCACGTTCAGTTTAAAGAGCTGTGGCATACCGATTATTTTGCAAGTGAGTTTACATTCATTAAAACACACCAATCAAAGTAAATCACCATTATCATACACTTTGCTTATATTTCATGGTGAGAATAAGCCAAAGAAAAAAACTTGTCTATACACAAGAAGTGGTACAGAGTTAAGTGCACTTTATTAAAGAGCTTACTCACAGCTTACAATATTTGCAAAACAGTTTTAAAATAATGGAAAGACTTGAGAAAAAGATTAATATGCACAGTCTCAGAGCTGATAATGTTTTTAAAAATTTAGATATATATTGTCCTTGGAACATTAACTGAAGTAGGAATCCTCACTAGACACATGCAATGTAATAGACACCAGGATGGGTGCACTGTTATGGTATTGCAGCTCTTAATGATATTTCAATATAGTCAGTGTAATGTCAAATAAATGACTCTTTTGACCATGACCAGGGAGGATTCCTCATGTGTTTTAATTTTTAAAAAACTTCTAATGTTTAAAAGCCTATGTCACTGTCAGGCAATCAGCAAACACAATAATAACACTTCAAGGTGGGGGCCTTGTATGTTATTACACTCACTCCGATGTCACCACCCCGTACATGTTATTGCAGTGCCCCTAGTCCAATGCAGTCATGCTCAATGTATCACCAACTCCTGCACCACCTAGCCAGTCACCTTCTGACTAATCTTTTCATCTCTTAGAATGTAATCAAACATATAGAAACACATACAAAAAGTAGGTAGATATAACGAACTTCCACAATTTTCCCCCTTAGTTAAACCTACACTAAGGGCTTCAGGGAACAAACTGAAATAAAATATATTTTTCACTGTCAGGTTCTTTGAACTTCATTTACCTGTGGAAATAAAAGCAATCTAGACAACTCAGTTTCATTTTTAGTTATTTTAACTTTTTGGTTCTCAGCAACAGCTCATACTGAAATTGTAAATAAGGGGGCATAAAGACAGGTATGAAGAGTCATTAAAAACCACAATGACATTATCTAACTTATTTTTAAAGCTTTTTTAACATTTCCTGAATGCTTCAATGATGCCAGTCTAAGTCAGATAGATGAAGCTAGGACCCATGTTGCAGTATAATCTATTTTCTTTTGCACTATCCAGGAGCAATAGGCAATGGGAGCGAACTTGTCTAGCTCTTCCTCACTGTAAAGGCAGCAAAGGGAAAAAAAACAGGCAAAAAGATTTGTGTGTCAAGGACTGAATGAATCCTGGTTCCAAGGTGAATATCTGAAAAACTAACTTCAGTCTTTGCAGATTGATCCTTTGTTATATTCTCTAACTGACTGCTCTTTCCTGAAGGTAACTCAAGGTCATCACTCCCATTTCTTAGTATATTGACAAACAAACTTTGTCTGAAAGGGTTGGTTAAGAACCCATCATTTTGTTACTTTTGTATTTCATTTGCTCAGCCTTTTGCCCCTCAAAAGTGTCAACTGGAATACCTGTTTTATGTATCTATCAGAGTGTCCTCAGGGACACTTCACTGGAGAAAAGCAGAGAACAGGTTTTACTGACTGGCAGCAAAAAGAAAGTGTCCTTGGGCCAGAGCTAAATAACTTCTATTACATGTAGCGAAATGATCCCACTATGATATTGTTTAATGTATTCAAAACAGTATGAACTGGGACATAAAAGTAATGTCATAAACAACACAGCAATCTCTAGCACCTAATAATTAATGGGCTTATGCAAGCCATGTTAGGGTATAATCATAGATTTCAAATATTAAATATCACAATGTATTTCAAACTTACCATTAAATAAACCTATGAGAAATTCATCTGTTTCATCCTGTTTTGATACTGCTGGTTCATCATCATCATCATCATCGTCATCATCATCACTCCTTACTGTCTTCTTTCTTTCCTCTTCTTCATAAAAGTCATTGAGGTGATTGTATGCATCCACCATTCGGATGGTGTCGTTTATCTGGAGAGCATCATTGTATTTCTTCAAATGTTCTGCGCAGACGCGTTCCTTGCGTCTTTCTTCTTTTGCAGCTAGAAGTGAACACAAAAGCGAAAATATGTCTGTGTATAGAATGATCCAAAGAAATCCAAAGCTGGGGTATATTTGCTATGCAGTTACCTTTTCTCTCTTCTCCAATCACCCACTGTTCATATGTCTGAGTTCCAAACTCAGATTTTGGATAGAGCTGGCAATAGTTTTGTATTTCTGTCATGATCTCAGTAATTCTCTCTCTAAATGGATCCTAGAATTAAATTGATAAACAGACTAAGCAAGCATCTTCTGGCAACAAAAACATTGGCTAGTACCATACTGAGTAATTTTAGAAAACAAAACCTTAAATTAAAATACAAGTAAGGTTAAATGTGTTCAGTGTTATGAAAATTAATAGTTCAGAATATTACAAAAATTATACTGTGAAATAGCAATTTTTTTTTACTGAATATAATGTCACTCTAATACAAACATTTCAGCGATGGGTCAGAAAGTCTTTTGACCAGACACCTCAAAACTAAAACTGACATAAGTAAAAATTTAGTTCTATTGGACTTTACTTACACACTTTTCCACACACAGGAAAGCAACAATATTCAAATTAGCACTATAGATCATCAAAAGTCTATAAAAAAGAGCATTAGTTAAAAGTTTTTGATACTAGACAACATACTTTTAAATGACAACATAACTTTAGTACAGATTTGATTGAAAAAAACATACCCTTTTTTTGTCATTTGCAATCACAGTCTTCTTAGTCGGTTCCTTCACCTGATTCTTTAACTGGGAGGCATGCTCTTCAACAGTCATAATTCTGCATGCATCAAGATTGGCACAGATCTGGGAGAAAACAAAATGTTATTTCTTTTAATGTTGAATGAGTTATTCCACATAAAAACTGAATTAATGCAACAGAGCTTCTTATTTGTATGCTGGGGTTTATATAACTTTATTTCTTCCTACAAAAACTGGATAGAGATACCATCAGCCTAAGAAAGGCCAAGTCATTGAAAAGCATTTCAGATAAGCTGCACAAGTTACTTTTTAGGCCAGAAGTGATCCTTGCATACAGGAAAAAAATTTGTAGATCAGGGTACAAAACAGGCATTTTGAAAAGGAAAAGATAGCATCGGGACTTTGGAAGAGTAGATTTTGGAGCACAAAATAAATAAAAACAATGGTGAAATAGAAAAAAAGAAAATAAATACTTGGGATTGCTTATAAAAATAAGAGCTGTTGCAAGAGTAGAAAATACTTTGAAGTTATCTGTTTTGGAACAGGAAGATATAATTTCTGTACTAAGTGCACAACTGAACTGGACTTCTCTGCTTTTGATCTGTTCTGAGGAGAAAACATGCATATGTGTGTCATTAAGTCTAAAGTAAAGATTTTATGAGTAGAGAAAACAGGGAAGGAAGTCTGGCAGGCAACCTTTTTCATATCTTTACCTATTTCAGCTTGCATATTCCGATTACATTTCTTTAGACACAGTGTCGTACCATTAAGATTTCAGAACTGATGAAAAGGAATTTGCTGCTTTTTCCATTGCCAGAAAGTTTGTGTGTCAAAATACCTTGCAATTCTATCTACTTCAATACAGCATAATAGCTTCTTGTAGACCTCACCTATTCAATATCAAATTCTGTTCTTCTGCAATTTACTAGTCAGGAGTTTTCACTGGAGTACTGGGCTAAATTCTACTTTTTTTTTTTTTTATTACTACTGTAAATCCATTTAATTTCAAGTAAAATAGAGTTTCTTTAAGTATAGAATTTAACAAATTATATCCAGTTAAGTGTTCATGCAAATCCACAATACTCCCCTTTCAATGAGTAACTAAAAAAGCCCACACTCCTATGCTACCTGTATGTCACAAGTGGCTTCTGCTTGTTTATGTATTCAACATTGTTTTTAGTTTCCTTGGATCCACACAAAAGCCCAGCTTAGTCCTTCTAGAAATGATAGAAAATGCCGTCATCTTTCTAGTATTTAGGAATACACAATAAATTCTAATCAATCAATGGAAAAATAAGATTTTTAGTAACTATAAAACCATACTGCATTGTGGATTTCTTGTCTCTGATCTTAACTTGAGAACTCTATTCAAGTCAGGCAATCTTCTTCCTTCCCTTTTCAGTAACCCTACTTTCCTGTAAAGTAACCTTTATTTGTCCATGTATTTCCATCAATTTGTAGTGGGTCAACTTTCTGAATGACTATGAGCTGTGTACACATTGAAAGAAAAAAATCTGATTATATATTTGGAGCCTAACACTGACTTTACAAGTTTTACTTAACAAGATAATATCCCTTTGACAGTTTGCAGGTGTGAGGGCTACTTACTTTCAGAATATGCTCTTCAGCTTTCATATTGGTTGTTGCACCTCCTACACCAGGTGAGGCTGTAAGTCCCAGAATCTGAGGCTGTGGGATCAGTGGTTTGTTTTCTTTTGCAAGCTTCTTGTTCTTCACCTTTTCTTTTAAGTAACGTCGCATTATATTGTTGTAGACACCTTCCTTTTGAGTGTGATGGCACTCATCAATAATGATGAGTGAAAAATCTGGGGAAAAAAAACCAACCTCCTAAAATGAGTAATTTTATTTCAAATGTAGAATTTCTGTGACTAAATCTTATAACAAGTAAGGATGCTGTTGAAGAGAACTCATTGGTTTGTTTGAGTACTAATGTACTAGGAAATCTATAGTGCTGGAGGAAGGCATGGATGGAAACTGTATGTATTTAATGGACTTTAGAATCTTTGCTGCAGTCCTGATGTGTCAAGTAGCTTCACATTTCATGTAATGGAAAAAGCTTTTCTATTTTTTCAAAACCAATCCGATGATATAAAGAATTTCAGATAGATATTTCTAATAGCAAGTGGTAAGAACATATCATAATTGAACTCCATAATATCTTTTATATCCATAACTGTATCTGATGAGGTACATACTGCTTGTTATGAAAAGATACATAATATGTCAGAAGCCTTTCAGACATCCTCAAAAGGCTTGTCATGATCAAAATATGCTTCAATATTATAGCAACACAGAGAGTTCCTCCCTATTCATGTCCAATTAAAAGATTTATGTTCATTTACATTGAAAAGAACAAACATATTGGTGGGAGCACTACCACTAATCTCTCTTTTGTAGGGGAGGAGACTGATGAAGATTCTGACAAGTATTATATTCTTTTTAATCAGATCATATATACATGCACCAAGTAATGTTTTGTACAATACGAAAACAAATTTATTTTTTAGTTTTTTGAAAAATATGGAAAACATATCTTTACCTACATATACAGCTGGTGACATATATTTCAAAGTTCTGAGTTGAAAGACTCATGAACATTTCTCTGTTTCTCTAACAGCAAAACTGGTTTATGGTGCTTCTACTCTTTCTGCAGCTGGCCAGTAACTCTCAATTTGAGAGTTTCCAACAATAGGAAGAATGTTTGTGGACATGACTATAAAGAGGATCACTGAAACGATCAGTGTTAAACTCATATATGTTTTTTTAATCTGGACCATTTCCATGGTCTTGTTTACATACTGATGTTCTCAAAATGTTGTATCACTACAAATGCGTTTGCAATAACTGACAGCAGAAGTTGGAAACTAACAGAGTTAGTTTGGCCTTTCTTTGAAGAACCTAAAGAGAGGTGAAGACTGAACAAGGGAAATTATTTAAAGGCTTCACCAAATAGAAAAGCAAACCAGTGCTCCATGCCACTGGGGAAAGCTGATTGTCTCCACACAAGTGGTTCAGTAAGGCAGTTTGGACTGATGTAGTTTCAAATCTAAATTCCTATTTATTTCTAAGATTTCTACATATTTCAAGATTTCAGAAGCAGTGCTAGTAGTTTCTCAGCTATTTTGCCAACATGATCTTACTCCCTTTGATTTTGACTATCATCTCTGTAATGTGTATTCCTATAATTCCTGAAGAAACTAACCCACCAGAAGGGATGCGTTTCTACCAAGGAAGTGATACACAGCTTTTAGAAAGTCCACACAGTGACTTCAGCCCTTGGTAAAGAGAGTAAAGACTTGGTAAAATGCAATTAGGATAGTCCCCTCCATTTCACTGAGGCTGGAATTCCATGTTACATGTAATGCAGACCTCTGTGGAAACAGATGAAAGAAAGTATGCACAAAAATTTGGAATTAAATCTTGTAACTAATTAGGGTGATTTATATAGGCTGTGAGTTAATCAAGTCACAGCCATAGAAATGGAGCTGGCAGTATTCATACTTGCTTGGCTTTGGTCCAGCTGAACTTGCTAGCACAGGTGTAATAGCAGAGAAAAAAAAAAAGAGGTGCAGAGCCACCTCAGTTCTGGAAAAAATGTAGCTCCTTATGAAGGAAACTTGCAAGGTGTGAAAACCATTCAAAAACGACTTCATTACACAAGCTGGTTGGGACTCAGCCCAGTTCTGAACAGGTCAGCAGTTCCAGTAGAAATGTTCACATGCCTCTATACAGCATTCCAAAATGATTCCGATTTAGGAAGTTTATTAACTTACGTGTAGTGTACAAGCGCTCTGGCTAGATTAATAATAAGATGTTCTGAGGGAAGGGAGGCATTCTGAGATGTCCAAGTGGCTCTGTAGGAGTTAGTTTGAATCAAGCAGTACTCCAGTCAGCACTAGGCACTGACACAGACTGACTCCTCAGGTTTCTCTGCTGTCACTGTAACAGCCAGACAAGTACCTCTATTATCTCAGGTCCATTATTTTGAATGTCATAGTTCTCCCCTCAGCTCCGTTCTGACCCACCTAAAAAGGAGCTGATTGCATACAAATAGAGGGAGAAGTTAATGTCTCACAGAGGAAGGCCACCACACATCCTGTAGCTGAACTCATGGGCTGTTCCGTTATTTGCACATCACTGGCAACTAACACCATTTCTTTTCTGATCTCCCACTGATACTGGCCACTTTAGTGTTCTGGGCAAACAATCTTCCCTCATTTATTTATTATTTTCTTCAACTTCCTTCATCTGTTGTAGGAAACCATTATATCTGCCAAGGTCTGAGAGACACAGAAGCAGACTTGTCACTGTACATTGGCAAAATTATAAGGGTTTAAAGAATGCTACTTTTACAACAGATTGACTTTTATCTTGTGTTCCACTGTATTTCTCAAATTACCAGCTACATTTGAGTTTTTCTAATTTTTTTCCTCATCTCATGGCTTGTGTGTGATGTGACTCAATGCTCTACCAAGGTTGGAAAGTGAAACCAGTACAGCTGCATTTGCATGAAGTTGTGCTTGAGCAAGATAAAATGGAAAACATAACAAATACTTAGTACAAATGAACTATAAGAGCCTAATTTTGGCTTGAAAAAATTGCATTTATAAAATGAGTCAATTGAAAAAACTTACTGAATGTGGCATATTTTCACTCTGCAACTTTCCAGAGTAGAGACATACAGAATTAAAAAACTTGCCTGATAAATGGACACCTTCTTCATCTTCTTTGGCTGCATTTAACAGTGAATTCTCAAGGATCTGTGCTGTACAGATGATGACATCATTTCTTCTGACAACTTCAGGAAATGAGATTTTCAGCTGACACTCACCACTTAAACCAATAACCCGATACCAACACTTCAGGAATGGCTTAAACTCTGTTTGTAAATGCTGTTCGACCAATGGTACCTGAACAAAAGTTTCCAAAAAATATTAAACCAGGGCATACACAGGATTAAAAATACATGCCTGTTTGTCAGCAGTGTTGTTAGGTGAACAAAACAAAATCAAGCAGTAAAAATCCCCAACCCAGTTTCTCCCCTGCAACTGCTCCTGTGAAACCTTTTTGTTCCAAGAACTTTGGCTTAACTGGGTCTTAGAAAGAATGAAGAAACCATGCATGCTCTGGCTCTTCAACTGAGCTTATAACATGCTATCAAATTTATTCTTATAGGAGGATATGGATATTGTGTATTATTTAAATAAAATTCTTAAATGCATTTCTATATTTAATATTACAATAGAAGATGAATTTATATGTGCTAAATTTAACTGCTAAACTTATAACAATTATCAGAAAACCTGACAAAATATTCCATAACTCCTGGGAGACTCATTAGATGCCCTTCGCTACCAAACCCAAACACAGAATGTGAAAAAACCCTTCTTTTTTAAAATTCATTTTCATACAAAACTGTACTTTTTCAAATGATGTGGTTATTAGGGCACATCTAAATTTGCACTTGCACTGGGGTACACTAAAATCATTTGTGCTTGTAGCAGCATGATGGTGCATGGAGATGACAGTCTAGAGCTGTATGCTTTTAAACACAGCTACATCTGGAGAAGCTGAGAATTGTGTTTATGCTCATTTTACAATGTCTATATTAACAATGAATGATGTTTGAAAAAAATTACTCTTTAAAAATGGACCAACATACCTTATTAACAAGTACTATTACTTTTCCAGACTCTGATGCTCTTTTCTTCTTATCCAAGTGATCTTTGGTAATGTAAACAGCCACTCTGGTTTTACCACTGCCTGTAGGGAGACATATTATAATATTCTCCCCATTCAGTGCTGGCTTTGCAACTTCCATCTGGTAATCTCTCAGGGTCAGCTCTGGCTCAGGTGTTCTCTCCACTTCATCTTCATCTAAGGGTACAACGAAAAATAAGTATCAAACAGGAGGCATAGAACCTATGTGAAAATACTCAAAAAATGTCACAGGAAAAAATAATAATTTACTATTAGATGCATCTTCTAAATAAATAGAAACAAGACACATTAGCATAGACAGTGTTGATCTGTGGACCTGTGCAACTTTGGATCAGGACTGGTTACATCCAGTCACCAATCAGGGTAGATGGAATAAGCCACAGATGTCTTTACTCGTCTATGTTATTACAAATTAATTCAAATGATACAGTTTAGTAGCACTGGGACCAACAAAGGTTGTGTTCAGAGCTTACGTGACATTCTCCTTCATCGGTACTGAAATTTATTTGCTTACAAGGGAGCCACCTTTTTAAATACTTCCCAGAGAATGAAAAATAGAGACATAGAAAGAAAAAGATATAGGGACCACTTAAAAAATGATGAAGGGAGTTATGAAGTATAAAGATCAAATAGGTAAGAAAATTCAATAACTCTTACAAGATAGAGCTGACTGCAGAACGTATCACATCTATTCATGGTAGCTTACGCTGCTTCTTAGCCTGACTCATACATAATGCAATTGAGCTGTTCACTAAAAAGCCATATACATTTGCCAACTGAAGGCCAAAGTCTTCCCTCTCTCGTTTAAAATGCAATGGCACAGTTTAGATCTATGGCTAACGGGTGAAACAAACAATGCTCAAAACTTAAAAGTGAAAAAACTCTGTTGGATTATTTCGAGCAGTAAGGAAAGCATTGCAAGTCTCTTGAGTTTACATATATTTAGGGAGTCAGAAATTATATATAACTTAATATGAGAAGGACTTATTTCAATGGAGTTTTCATGATTTTGTTTATTTTCCCCTACAAAGATGTTTATATCACCCTCTATGTATTAACTGACCTCAGTGAAGAAAAGGCACAAATTCATTCTAATAGACTAAAAATGAGGGGGGAAAAAAATCTTACAGTTTTATTTCCAATGATATCATTAAATGAAGAATCATGAGGATTTTATTATCACTGATACATTACACACAAAGTAAGTATATTTTTCTAGTATTCCTGATTCCATTAAATAAAATTAAACTAACAAAAAGTAATGAAGCTTGATAAAATACTGCTGATGGAACCATCTGAATGCCATTCTTAAGTGTTTTTTGCTTGTTTTGCCTTTTAGCGTGAGTGCAGTGCTACCTGAACACAGGGAAATTTGCACGAGAGAGTACTTGCTGCTACTTATCTGACTTCTACTACTCTCTTTTGAGGAAGAACGTTGTTTGCTTTCTGGTTGGCTAAATTCAATAGTTAAATTATATTGAAACTAGCACTTTATCACCCATCTGGTTAAATTTCAGTACCTTAACATCCTCAATTAACAGCCCAGGCCTAAAAGATATTTAGCTTACCAGTCTCCTAGCTTCCTCAGCCCCTGTTTAGATGAAGTCTAATACAGGAATCTTTTAACAGATTAAAGAATTAAATAATTAAAGATTTTTCACTGTGTAAAGTATAATTTTAGGGAAGTTGTCTGCCTTTGTATAAGGCTCATATAAATTGCTGCTCTGGGCTAAAAGAAATATGACAATTATTCTATTGTCCTAATTCCATCGTTTTTCTTGAATGTGAAATGATCCTTGCGGGAAGACTGCAGCTGATTCTTTGCATTAAATCACATGATTCTTTGCATTAAAATCCAAATTATGTCAGTGCATTAAGGCAACCTCCAAACATCTTTGTTAATACACCAGCCTTACTGCAAACTCTAAAATCCATAAATATCACAAACTCTCTCTGTATGTCCTTAGCATATTTTCTCATAGCTGCTCTCATTGAGTTTACTAGGCATGATTAAAAAGCATGAGTGTTTTTTAAAAGCTTTTAAACCTGTTGCTTTTAAAGCTCACATGTAAACAGAACACATAGCAAGTAAACACTGGAAAAAAATATGTCCTGCATTCTTCACAAAACTATACTGATTTTTCTTTCCTGATGGATTACTGGATATAACAAATGCCCAATTTACCTATTGGGAGATATTTCACAAATCTTTAAAGGAGAAGGCCATACATATATATGTGCTGCCACATACCAGTAGCCTGGATCAGGCTGACCAACCTAAACAGTGTGACTGCCCACAAAACAGAGAACTTTCTGTGCCCAGACATTTCATGTGACACAGTGAGAAAAAACATACAATGTGACTCATGAGTCACCTCAGTTACTGCAGAAATGCACAGTATATTCTTTGGAATTAGTGATACATAGACTAATATCTTAGCTATGGTGTAGCAATTTAGATCTGAGATACCCTGAATTTTCTGTCACTTATAAAATATGTGGATTTTAATATTAAAAAAGTTCAAAAATATTTTAAGGGTATTCATAGAAAACACTTTGCAAGCATATGACATATAACATTTACACTGACATTACTGATGTAATACTGTGTTTATTAGGTAGAGCTGGCCTGAAAGGTACCCAGATTCTTTCTAGCCCTTGTACAAGACACTGTCGCAGCATGTATTTTATACAGGCTAGATTCTAAAAAGTAGCTCTTGAATTCTTTGTAGGCAAACAAGCTGATCACCATGGTGGGCAGCTGTAAATTTGTTTTGACTGAGGTCTAAGATAAAAAAAAAAAAAATTAAAAAAATAGGCAAAAAGTATTGGGATGTCTTTTACAACAGCAGTGTTTAATTAGGCTCAGACTATATACATAGCAAGATAATATCTGTCTGCTAAGTACTGTGTAAACACAGTCCAATATTTAGTTTAAAACTGTATGTAGAACTTGCACATGTGTTTAATGTGAGATTCATAAAGGTGTTCAGATAGTAACCTCATTGAGTAGGTTGCTTTTACAAAGAGGGTTATTAAATTACTTAGGTCCAAAGTGGACCTTCATTACTGTTCTGCAGGTACCCTGGAAATGCTTCTGCTAACCTTCAGATGCCTCTAAAACTTGTCCTGTTCCTTCTCACTTACCCTAAGCAGCGGCCAGGCACAGTATAGCTCTTCTCTGAGAGCAAAAAAAACACAAGTATGTCTTTATATGAATATCTGTGCAAGTGACTGCATTGCATGACTTCTGGAAGTCCCCTCAGCCTGTGTGATCTTATCATTGTGCCTCACTGACCACTTGTGTGATGACGATGTCTAGAGAACTATGCAGATGATCTCAGTAAATCAGCTCTTCTGGGGCTAGGACTTAGGTCCAGACGCTTAAAAATGGCATCACTTTTCCAACGAAATAAGAGTAAGTCTGGCATCTAAAGACAGTGAACTAGAGTTCACAGTGAAAGCCTTCCAGTGCTGTTGTTCTAGCCCATTCTCAGAGTGCTTCCCCTCCAGAACTTATTTTGCAATTGCTAAATAACAGAAAGGAAACATACCTGAATCACTGGCTGTGCAGCTCTGTCCCAGGTTTTCATTTAAGTTACTGACACTTTGATCTTCTACAGAGACATCTGACTCTAAATGAAAACCACAAACAAATATAGTATAGTGTGTTTGATGTACAAATATTAATAGCAAAAGCATTTGTTTGCTCTCTTCCTAAGTTGTTAAAATAGACTGGCTGAATGTCTGGCAGGGATGGCTGAGGTATTTTTTTTTAAAAATCTTAGGTACAGACAAAAATGTGAAAAATAGAATTCATTTTCTTATGGAAGAAAGTGTGGAGGATTATAATGCAAAACATGACAGAGAGAAGGTAATGTGGGTCATGATTTATTGTCATCAGGCATCTGTGTTCTTTGCTTGAAAGCAAGGCTCTAGTCATGACCACCTGCATGATCCCCTCTAGTCCTATTTTACTATAGTTTACTATTTTACCTGGTTTTCACCCATTTCAGAAGGGCGAAAAGCCAAAAAAAAGTTGTAGGCAAACTGAACATTCTTTTACTCCCTGTGTAAGCCATGAGAGTTATATCTGTAGTAGAACAAAAACAAAACTAGAACTATGAGGGTTTTTTTAAAGAAAAAGTTTCTTCATGTAACATAAAAGGAGTAAGCCATAGTTCCCAAGTAAATATAAGCAGTGAGGAATTATTCAATCTTCCAAACTGTTTGCAAGCAAAAGCAGTGACCAACCATGGGCGCCCTCGGCAGGCTGGGACACTGCTGCAGCCACAGGGCAAGGCCGCGCTGCATATTCTCGTGTTAAGCTCTCCCTCTGCTGAGCAATCAATGTATTACGCTGACTTTTTTCGGTAATTTAGATAGCTGGATTTTCTAAAACTTAGTCCTTTATCTAAAGAGATATGCAGTTCTTCTGGAAAAATCTGTTGCAAACAGCCTCACCCTGCACTACTAGCTTACCTGCAGGACTCTGCAAGTGAACCCAGACTATGCTTATGAAATCCCTCAGAATAACAGCATTGAGCTCTGTTTTGCTTCATTATCTAGTGAACTTGTGTTCTATCAAGGTTCTCAGTTTTTTTCCAGTGAATATCCTGTTACGATCCACATCCTTATTTTCCCCAACTTATTGTCCCCAACAAATAATTCATAAAGCAAAATAGATCCTGTGAATGAGAGTTTAGACCCGAATGGAAGTTATAGTGCCTCAGAAAGGTACACCTGAAATATACACCACAAAGTCTTAGTAAGTGAGGTGGAAATTAAACTTAGTCTGCATTCAGTAACTTCTGAAGCTTTTACTTTCCTTTATGCCAGTTTTGCTCTTCTTGAAAGGAGAATGAATAACAGAAACAAACCTGCTACTTCACAGAACAACTATAATGCAGCCAACAGAAATGAACCTTAGCTACCACTAGGAGTCAGGTATTAACAGTTTTTCTACCATATCCATAAAAAATGATGCAAACATCTATCTTACTGTCCTACAGATTTCATCATTTATTCCATACAGACCTCAGAATCTGATCCAACTATTAATCACCACTATCTTTAGGAAGTGTTGTAATAGGCAAGGGCATTAAAGACTTTCAAGCACCTAAGTTAAAAGCCTAGTGTCCTAGAAATCAATGCAATCAACAGAAAGGCAAGAAAAAAGACGAAAAACTCACCAGTTACAAGCCATGTTAAAAGACCTGTGACAGAACTATTAAGTACCATTAGTAGGAGCTCCAACTACGAAGACAATACTGCCATGTCTCATTTTCACTCTCTAGGAATCCTCACGGATAGGAAAGAGAGGACAAAATTAAAATCCTATGTATCTATTCCATATGGTCTCCCATCTAAGATGACCTACTGAATGATGTGAGAATGCATATGCATCCATAAAGTGTTTTGTACATAATTATCTGAATTACAATGTGCAGCATGTATTGCACAATAATCTCTCAACAGAAAACATCAGTGATGAAGTGAAATGCAAAATACTCATCTTTCAAATGAAAGGTGAATAGAATAATGTTCTCCTTTTCCAACTGTGGCAACTTTCTTGAATTATTTTAAGACAAAACCCCCCAAAGAGTAAGCATTTCCAAAACAATAAAGATCAAAGAGTTGATATTCTAACAACTGTTTTCACCACTTTTACTATCTTCCCTTAGAGTGCTGCCTGCATATTGTAATGCAGAATATTTCACAGGAAGATTTCCAGTCACTTTGTACTGATTAATAAGTATAAAGACAGAGGAATGTAATGAAAAATAAAAATAATTAAAAAAATCTATGCAATATTAATTAAAAACATCTTTCTTTTCTGTCCTGTGCTACATTATGTCGAAAACCAAGTTTCAAACGTGGAAAAATATAAATGAACGTCCAAAATATAAACAGGCTATTAAAACTGGTCCTATTTTCAAATTAATAGTTTTTCTAATCTAAAGCATTAAGGGACACTTGCATATTAACTTCTTTTTTAAAAAAAAATGAACCAAGCCATGAAAAAGCTGCTATTTATTTAAATTGCTGTTTACACAGGTAACTGTGCAAAGTTATTCAAGTGTTTAATTTCTGATCTTGCAAACTTCTCTGTTTTGTGTTGTTCTTTGTGTGTGTGCCATTTCCTATCTGTGCTTTTGTATGCACAATTTTTCTCCAGTTATCTCTTAGGCTAAATGAGCTATTTCTACTTTGGTTTTATGACCCTACTGCTCTCATACCTTCTGGCTCTCTCTGTTTCAGCTACTCAAATAGAAGGGTCAGAGGAGGCTTTAGATACAATGCAAATTGCAGTAATTTCAAGTGACTTGAGAAAGCTTCTTTCTCCCTGAAATCTGTCCTCAAGACATGAAGGAATGGTGGGAGTGTACCGCAAAACTGACAACACTTGACAGCATCAAATTGCAAATTAAGTGGGTTCCCAGCCTACTTGGAAGTGGAATCTGGGCTCCAGTTGTATTTTCAGCTGCCTGGTCTAAAAACAGTCATAGGCGCTCACAAGAAAGGATGAAAATGGAAAAAGACTTGAGTGCAGTTAAGTGTACGAGTGCATAGAGACCAAAGCTTACTGCACTTCAAGATGGCTGAATGTGAGCCAGTTCCTCTACAGCCATCTTCATGCATCACAGTCTCCTGGCAGCCCTTGTTAGACTGCATCTATGCTGCTGGTTTAGTTCAAATCAGATGTGCATGTTTACAGTGAATATGTCAATTGTCCCCACTTACACTACTTTGGTTCATATCGCAGCGCTGATTTAGATCAGAAGAAATGAGCTGTCAGCTGAAACTAACTGAGATGTGTTCCAGCCACTTGCAGGCACACACCTCACACCAGGCTGAAGTCAGTCTGAACCAAGCTGACAGAATCCATGTACTATACACACCCTTAGCACCATTCCACTGAACAGATCTCCTCAACTGCACAAACTGCTAAGACCCATTGTCTATTAATTTCAGCACCGTTCTGTGCTGAGGAGGCCGTAGTTTTCAGGTTAGAATTAGCTTGTGGCAGGCTAGTTAATAACTAACAGATCTAATTATCTGTAACCCTCAACCTGACAAGAGTCAAGTAGAAGATCAGGCTAACAGCGATAAAAACCTACCCTCGGTGAGGCCCAATAAGAGCCTCAGCCTCGCTCGGAAATTATTCCAACTAACACTGAGGCTAACTCAGTCTGATCTATTCTGTGTTATCATTAAATATGTGGCACTGCTTCTTTATATCACTAAATAATGTTCCAATCCAGGAATACCAAACCGATATTTTTGCTGTAGTCAATATTTCACAACTTGCTACAAAGCATTGTGATATGCTGTTAATATGATCCTAAGTGAGAAACAGGCTACTATTGCTGCACACTGAAAGGCTGAATAAAAATTTATTTGTGTTTTATAAAAAAAAGAGCAGCTTTCGCTGTCTAATTCGTTTGGTTGAGTAAGCCCACTATGATAATTTCAGGCAGGATTTACCTGAGTTGTAACTACTGTTTGAGCTCCATCTGAACTCGTAACATATATGAATGGTTCCTTAATCATATGGCATATGTTTGAATCATTGGTTCCCAGTTATATGTGGGCATTGCTGCTGGTAACTGCTGTTACTCATAATCAAGGCATGTTTTTAAAAGCAGATTTATATGAACAACAGGCCACAACAATTTCTAAATACTTGGACTAAAAACTGTACTTCTGAGTACGTGATGGGATGTGACAAAGGCCGTTTGATGCTCTGTAAATATAAAACCACAAAATAAACAGAAAAATTACCTGTTGCACAGTACTAAAGGCCTTTCCAAAACCAGAAATGTTTCCCAATGTAGAATTGCCAGCCTTTTAGAAAGAAGTACTTAATACAGCTGCAGTTATAGTGGTACAGAAACATTCCTCGTCTTAAGCTTTGACAACACTGTGAGGAGTTGTCAATGTCAATCTATTGTTTGCATTGGATAGTATAAGCCTACCATGAATAGGTCTGAAATACAACCTTGATTTAATAATATTAATATATTTATTAAAAGTATTAAATACGTTTGAAAATTACTCATTTCTTCACACAGTAAATCAAAAAGTAGTAACACAGAGTCATTAAAAGTGCTATTCAGGGGGAAAGGAAGATCATTAATTTTGCTCAATTATAAGGAAATCAAGCAGCCTATAGTAGATAAAGGATCATCACTACAACCTGGATACAGAAAACGTCTACATGAAGGCTACACATAGTGTACTACAGATTTTTTGGCCATGTCCTCATAATCCATTCTGTACTGTGCTAGCAAATTTGTTGCTGACCCAGCTCTTACCTTTCAGATTAATTAGTTCGAATATGAGAACATACTCTTGTCCTACAGCAACTCTTTGAACTGAACACAATTGTAGATCTGACCCTTGAAATTTCTACTGCTGTTAATTCAGAGGATGAAATGGAATTTACAGTTTCCAAAAAGATTTTTCCATCCATTCCCTTCACCTTGACAGTACCATATGTTCCTGAATTTTTAAGCAAGATGGGAGCTAATGCACCAAGAACGTTCTCTCAGTTACTTGCAGTTACTAAAGCTTAACTGGTACCAGCACAAAATACCTGTAAATG